TACAACATTTCGCAACCAAATTTTGCACTTTTACTAATTTCAATATGTTCTTTTTAGCTGTGGTGTCTGATTCCCTTTTCTCTGCTTAGATTAAAATTTTGTCTAACATGCAAGTTGTCCATTAATAACACAAAAATTCGTCTTATAGTTATAGATACGTCCGCAGGCACACACAACTTGAAAGTTTTATTTTATACTCTCAACCTCGTCACCAGAGTCTACAACCCCCCAAAGCTGCCTCGTACGATCAAGCGCACGCGGCGCGGGACGACACGAGAGGGGAAAAAACTGAAAACTCGGCGGGAAGCACCTTGTGTGTAAAACCAAACATGCGATTGCGTGTTAAAACTCTAGAGTCATTACCACTGACAATCGCTATATGGCCAAAAACGTTGCCTAGAAGCGACATGAATCAACATGCTTCATGCATACTCGTACCCACAACCAAAGAATCTAGTGGCTACGAGATTGATTATGCTTTGAGTAGAGATGACGGTAATGATTTACCACAACATATCCACATTGCAGGCAGATGATGTCATTCCACGAGTGTCGAAACGTAGGGTCGTGTGAATGCAATTCGACTGCCAAGCACTTTGCATTCATTCACTAGCGAGCGAGTACATGATTGAGTAAAGTTCAACGAGTGAGACATCCTCGTCCCCAGGGCCTCTCGGCTGCGCACGCCATCCATAGGCCCTGGGGCAAACGGAACCGGAAGTAAATAAAAATATATCACTTTTATTCATTAAATTTATATTACTATCGTATAATAACATGTTTAATACACGCTAATATAGGTATCTATACTATTAACACCGTATTCACTCGTTTAAGCGACGCATACGTTATTTTTTTAAAAACAAATCGGCATTTAATTGAAGCACTGGCAGCTAGAAATGTTAGAGAAGTTTTGTTTTACAAATTACAGCAATTCAATCTTCAACCGGCCTCGAATTTTTTTTTCCTCTTGTTTTACAGTGTCCTCTCAGTAAATATGTTTTATTTAACTTGAAAATGTGAATTTCCCTTGCAAAGGCAGTCAAATTTGCATGGACAACAAGCCCATGCATAAAGAGGGCCGCCCTCAAAAAACAAAAAGCGCCGCATCAGAAATACTAAAAATGTAATGAGCGCCATAGCGCTGGAACGAGCAAATAGGCGGTAAGGTGTAAACATAATATCCTTAGTTGAGTTCATAACTCCAGGTAGAACATTGGAATATGTTTTAAATGTCAATACCACCACGTACAGTATATCTGGAGACTTTAGGCTGGTCTCACGTGTTTACCCCTCAGGTTTTGACAACCGAAAATTGCACTTCCCAAACTCACATGACCAAACCAGTGGAATAAAATATAAAATGGAGGAACTCTGAATAAATCGATACCTTGAATTTTATTTCATTTTAAACGGAAGCTCAAATGCGGCTTCGAAGCATTTTGAATAAATTTTGCCTAATATTTTGAAATTAATATAATTTAGTATCACGTGTCTATTAGACAGATTTAGAAAAGACGACGCGACCTCAAAGACGACGTGGATGGCGTCATTTGGCGCCAACTATCGTCAGCTTCTGATTTGCCACGTCACAGAGTAGATAAGACATACAGAGACGTAACTGACCGTTGTAAACACTGCGGAAGATTACGTTATCATGTACCCACTTTTTTTCAGGCGACCGGGCGAAAAATTATCAACTGCGCGTGCTCAGCAAGTTTAAAGT